CTTTTACAATAAACCATTTGGTACTGTGTTTAAATAAAGTGTAACATTTCCTATGCTGAAGTCCAGAAGCAAAACAAGTTGAGATGCACTTTGCTAATTTCCAGGCAGTGTACAAAAACACAGTTTCAGAGATAACGCTTATTTAGGCCTAATCAATTAGATAATGCAGATATACCAAATGTGTTATTTCTGTGTAATACTGTACAGTAATATAAGTAGCTAAACTGGTACAACACAATAGATTGTACATGTATAAATTACAAATGGAAACATGTTGTTTTCAAATAGTCTTAAAGCAAATTTTTAACGGGTAAGATTTTACAAACAATAAAAAAAAACATTTTCTGTTTCTGGAATCAATAAGACAGAAGACGATAAAACAGATGGGATTCGAAATGAGGTAAACCACTCATTTACTGAACTCACAGTGTGCAACTGCTTTTCTCAGTAAAGTGCGCTCTGAAACAGACAGCTATCTTTTGTGACACAATCTGACACCAGAATTAGTTATAATGGTTCTCTGATTACTTTGCCCCTCTTGAGCACTGCAATTAATTCTGCTCTCATAGCTGAGTGTTAAACAAAAAAATTAGTGTTTCATCAAGGACTATGGTAATTAAAGCCTCATCCCTAGCAATTACCCCTTGTGATACGAAGAGGAAGAAGTTGCTCAGAAACGCTCATCTTTATTAAGGTCACTGCATGTCAAACATGAATAAAGCATAACTGATCTCTTCTGTCATTATCCTAGTCAGCCACGTGCAAATGCTTAAATATCTTTAGAATGTGTATTTGTACTTAATTGTACTTGAATTTTAATTTGTACTAGTTTTGCTTTAACACAAATAACTTTTAGGAGATAAATGTAATTATCTTGCTTTCAGCCCCCCAAAAATATGTTATAATATACGGACGACTGGTCATTATCACAAAATAAACAGTGACATTTAGACTTTTTTCCAAAATGTGTTACAATAACAAATACAGGCAAGCAATTATTCTAGTCACCCTGAAGGGGTTTATTTTGTGATTCAGACCAACTGAATGTTCATTATCCTGCTAATGATGTGGCTCCCTCCCAAATAAACAATGCATGGACATTCCAATGATTTGTATCGTGAAAAGCGCTGTACAAATAAACTTGACTTGACTTGACTTGACATGAGTTCATGATTTTTCTTATTTTGTATTATTCATATTATTATATTATGTGAGAAGAGAGCAGCCACAGAGCGATGCAAGAGAAATGAAACTAGTACAGTTACTAATACGTACGCAATACTTTTGTGAGAAAACAAATGTTTTGCAAGATAACACAAAGCTTCTCTGAAAACATAATGCTTTTGCAAGAGAACAAATATTTTGCAAGAAGACAAAGTTTCTCAGAAGAACACAATACTTTTTCTAGAGAATGCAAATATTTTGCAAGATAACGCAAAGTTTCTCAGAGGAACAAAATACTTTTGCGAGAAAATGCAAATATTTTGCAGGGTAATGCAAAGTTTCTCAGGGGAACATGGTACTTTTGCAAGAGAACGCAAATATTTTGCAAGATGACACAAAGTCTCTCAGAAGAACACAATACTTTTGCAAGAGAACACAGATATTTTGCAAGATGACACAAAGTTTCTCAGAAGAACACAATACTTTTGCAAGAGAACACAAATATTTTGCAAGATAACACAAAGTTTCTCGGAGGAACATAATATGTTTGTGAGAGAACCCAAATATTTTGCAAGATAATGCAAAGATTCTCAGGGGAACACGGTACTTTTGCAAGAGAACACAAATAATTTGAAAGATAACAAAGTTTCTCAACGCAATATTTTGCGTTGGAATGCAAATATTTTGCAAGATTGCACAAAGTTTCTCAGGGGGGAACAGTACTTTTGCGAGAGAACGCAAATATTTTGCAAGATAAGTTTCTCAGAGGAACACAATACTTTTGGAAGAGAACGCAAATATTTTGCAAGATAACGCGAAGTTCTTGGGGGAACACAATACTTTTGTGAGAGAAAGCAAATGTTTTGCGAGTGAATACAAAGTTTCTTGAGGGAGCACAGTATTTGTGCAAAATAATATCATATAGGGGCTCTGTACAATTGACCTATCAGAATGAAGTATTCCAGAGATCAAGTTGCTTCACAAAAAAATAACCTTTAAAAAAGGTAACGTATCTGTATATAAAGCTTAATTAACACATTAAAATGTTTGTATTGCAAGTACACAATAATGAATATATAATTCACAATAAGAACAGTGATGAGAACCTGCACTGCCATAAATGTTTATCAGCTTATTGTTTAGATTTACTATCATTTTTGTTGGTTTGAAAAAAGCAACATTCTCTGTTTTGTCAGAAATCTCTAGAGACCATCCCAATGCTCTCTCTCTCCTTTGTATCTCTCTCAGTTCTCCCATATCCCTGCTGATGACACAGATTGCCCTTCACAGTGAGGAGGTAATGAAATCTGTAATGGAACAGCAGGGCTGTGGACCATTTTGGATGCCTGAGATGAGTCCCTGCAGCTGCTAGACCTGCAATTACTGAATCAGAACAACACCAGTCAGGCACTTCCATGCTGGAGTTTGTTAAACACAGTTTAAGGGCCGAGTTGTCCATGTACTGTTCAAGTTTTATGGTAAGAGACACACACTGCCACTAAATACGTTTTCAGTTTAATTAAAAAATAGATTTTCTGAGCTTCTGCTTCTCTGTCTCTGTAGTCTCTGTCTAATAATTTTTAATTTGGACAGTATTAGTGATTAAATGATGCTGCTATACGGGCACATTCTTCTCATCAGACCCTGCGTGTTCATGATTGTAATCAAGCATAGATCATTTCTTCCTGTCTTTCACTTAATCAAACAGTGTAAGAAGGAAAGTAGTTTGGAAAGTAGTTTGTAGTTTGTTGTAGGTTAAATCACTCACTCACTACAAATAAATGAATGTCTTTGCGTTAGAAACAAAATATCAACATTCATTTTGACATTTTGAAATGTGCTTGTACTCAGTTTTGATTCCAGGTGGTGCACTATGGAAGCAAAAAATTAAAATTAAAATTAAATTAAATATATAAAAATAAAAAGATAGCAGTCTTTTCCCCTCACAATAAAAAATAAAATAAAATAAAAAATACCGCTTACATTTTTTTTTCTCAGAATTCTGATTTTATTTTGTGCAATTCTGACTTTTTTTTTTTTACTTTAAATTGGAAGATTAAATCTCACAATTCTGAATTTTCTCAGTTTTTTTTCTCAGAGTTTATATCTTAATTTTTTTAAACATTTACAGTGGGTACGGAAAGTATTCAGACCCCCTTAAAATTAATGAGGAAAAATAAATAACTTAAATGATTTTAGCAAATGGCTGCAATATAACAAAGAGTGAAAAATTTAAGGGGGTCTGAATACTTTCCGTACCCACTGTATATCTTACAACACATTATTTCTCGCAAATCAGATTTTATTTATTAATTCTTTATCTCTCTTTATTTTCTTAACCTGCAAACACTATCATAACCAACAATAATTGTTACAAAAATACTATAGATAAACTTTGCTTACTGCTTCTCTTTCTTCTTCTGTCTTATTTTTCTGTTTACAATAACATAAACATAGAACTTAATTCAGTTGAAACCCATGTCCACTAGAGAGCAGACAAGTAAAAGTTTTGGACCATAGAAATGGAACTGGATGCAGAACGGTTCCATTTACATGCTAATGCCTTCACTCTGCAATGTAAACAACATTTTTAATTGCCTTAACCCTGTAACGGTCATATAAGAATAAGTATAATTGAATTCAAATATAAAGTATTTCAGTTTTAACTAGTTTATTCCATGCATGATAGAATGTCTGGATTTCCTCAGCCTATAATTGGATTTATTTAATGATAGTTATTAAAATATTATTTTAATCAGGTGAAGGCAATAGAAAAATGTTGTTTACAGAGCAATAACATTTAGTTTAGCTATACTTCAATTTGATATTAACTGAGTCGTTAGAATTTTCATGCTTTTTGGAGTTTTGTAGGTTATTATAGTTAACTAAAACCATAAAAAGTTACATTTTCATTACCTGAAATAAAATAAACATCATCTGGAGTAAAATAAAATTATAAAAGACTTATTTTATTTCATGCTAGTTGCCAAGGCAACATTCCTCTATTTAATTTACTTTAATCTGGTGTACTGAAATTAATAAATACGAGAAATATTAAAAAAGACAAAACCACACATCAAAATTACTAAAATTATAAAGAAAATATACAAATAAAATGTAATTTAACAAAAACTATAATCTGTGATCTCAATGATACTAAAATAACACTGGTACAAGGGTGTTTTAAGATATTGGTTTAATTTCAACAGAGTTGGCTTAATATCTTAATATTTTATAGAATCAATGCCAATATGCTAAATCCTCCTTCAGACTGGCACGATTTGCCTGGTCTTTACCCTTTGCTTTCACCCTCGGGAAAAAATGGATTTGGGATTAGCTCTTAGTTATGAAGGTACATAAAATCATATCAGAAAACATGTGGAGGTCTTGAAACTGGGGGTTGATTGGCAGCTATTTAAGCATGCCGAGAACTAATCACTAAACATGATGAGATGATGATCTCATTAGAGCTCACCCATTAGGACTAATGCTTGTGCTCGACAAATTATCTTTAATTAGATCATAGAAATATTCTTGTGTTGCTCATTGCCCGGATAGATCCTGCTAATCTGTTTATTTTTATGACGTAGAAGATTTTACTGCGCAACAGAGAAGCATTTCAAAAAGCCCCTCAGATGTTTAGCTCATTTGGCACGGTAATAAGAAATGAAGGACAAATACTCTTCATAAAAGAAAGCAATCTGATTATTCTTTAAAAGGTTTATTGAATTTGTGGAAATTTGTCGACAGTTTGGTCTTCTTGTGATGCAAGTTTTTGGTCATTTGCAATAATTATACAAAACAGTAAAAGGTGTAGCAGTATTGCTGTGGTCTTCAACAGTGTAAACTACAGACATCCTGGTAAACATAAACCTGGATAAAGCTGGTTTATTCAGTGGCCTACGTTATCTTTTCAGCTCTAATACAGCTCTATCAACAGACCGCTCTAAAGGCACTTTAAAGCTCTTTTTCTTTTTTACTCTCAACAGAAACAACAAAAGAAACTCCATTCCTCCTCGTTCTACTCCAGCATGGATCTTCAGCTCTCTAGTGGCCCTACTGGTCACATGCGGCTCATTCCAGATCATCATGTTGGGTGGACTCGTTAATTATCTGCAGTGGATGAAAGGTCAGAAGGTCGTGATTTTCATATTGTAACTTAATAACACGTGTAAAGACTTGTTATGCCACTCACATGTCCATCTCTGGTCTCGATGGTATATTTAAAAAATGTCGGTTACGGAATGCATCTTGAATTTCAATTGTTTCATGCCCAAACTATGTTTATTCCCACTGCATGTAAACGTATATTTGATTTGATTTAACTGGATGCTATTTTAACAAAATATAGGACATGGGATGCATTTTCTTCTCCATTTTAAAAAGCGATAAGCCTATTTATTTTACTATCATAATTATTCATGATTATGTGCTGTAATAAATTATTTGCATTCAGCATTGTTTTTCCACTCTTCACAATTTTTTAAGGATGAACTAAAAAATACTGTACCTCGAAGGGTTAATGATGAGAGGTTGGGGAATGGTGTGGTGATCCTAGAAAGAAAAAGAAAAGAGAGAAATAATATGTAAAAACCAATGTTAAGTAAAAAAAAAAACATATTTGTAATATATTTTAAATAGTCAAGTCTAAAAGTTTCACTCAGTTTTTCCCCTCATTAAAAAGGTTGTATATTTATAGTCTTAGTAAATTAAAACTGATATATTTTACAGTGAGAAGGTCACCATGTTGAGGTCAAGTGACCAGCCAAATACTATTTGCATTATTTAATTAATTCATTTCAGTTAAATTATTTTGTGAGCAAAAGATAACGTCTAGTTACCAGGGTTAAACATGTTTTTAATAGTTTTTGTTAATACTATTAAAAATATTTTGTTAATTGAAATTAAGCTGACATAAAATAAAAGAATTGAATGAAAATTAAATAAAATAAAAAACTGAAAATAGAAAAGTAAAAGCTAATTCACAATGTTAATAAAAAATATAATAGCATATACTAAATACTAAAATAACACTGCTTTCTACCATCAAATCAGTAACCAAAACTCATGTTCCCGCGTTTATTCCACTAGGTGTCACTATAAGTCCATGCTGAATGTGCCTTTAAAGAAAAGCTAAGAATACAAAGTCAATACAAAGAAATTCTATTTGCAAAAGCAAACATTCACCTGCTTTCTTCCCCTTCCAGCAGCTTCCTGTAGGTGGCGATCTCAATATCCAGGGCCATTTTAACGTTCAGCAGATCCTGGTATTCACGTAGATGGCGCGCCATCTCATCCTTCATATTGCGGGTGTCGTCCTCTAGATGAGCGATGGTGTCCTGGTAACCAGATGCCTCCATGGAGAAGTTATCTTCCATCTCTCTCATCTGACGCTCCAGGGACTCATTCTGAAATGATGAATCTGATAATTAGTCATTTAAACAGTCGTAATATAAAGCTCTTTAATAAATGCTAATTATAGTTAACTAAATCTAAAATAATTTTTTTTTTTTTTACTTGAAACTAAATAAACATGAACTAAAATTAAATTAAATTATATAAAAAGCAAAAATATTTCTCATGTTAATTTCGTTTAACTTGATGTACTAAACTAAAACTAAAACTGAAATCATCAAATCATTCAAAAATGACAATAACAACTTACTAAAACTTCAAAAATTTAAATGAAAACAGAAAATAAAAATATGAATAAAATCTATAATAGTATCTCAATGATACTAAAATAACACTGAAGCTAATATAATGTTCTCCAGTACTTACAGTTCCCTTAAGAGCTTCTAAGTCGCAGGTGAGAGATTGAAGTTGGCGGCGATAGTCATTGGCCTCCTGCTTGGCCAGACGGATCACTTCGTTGTTACGGGCAGCAGCTTCTGATAGGTCAGCAAACTACAAAAAAGAGAAAGTGTGAGATGAAGATAAAGCTACATCTGCCTCTCTGACTTTTGTTTTCTATTTACAACTGAAGGCCACTGATGACTGTGCTGGTTTCATGTTTGAAGATCTAGGTTAATAGATCAATCGGTCCATTAGGATGATTAATACTGTGACAGAGGAGCAGATGGCTTCTAAATCCACACAAACCTCTCTGTCGACCATCTGCCACGTCTTAAGGAGTTGATTCCTCAAACATCTCACACTGTCTTTCAGATCAGATCCTTTCTTGTATTGTTTCATTGTTCATTTGTAACTTAACTAAGTTCTATCTGATGTTTCTATCTCAGGTGTTTCTCCACAAACTGTATTTATTATTGCTGCAAGTAAATCTGTATTAGATACAGAAAAGATATGGAATATGGGAACATTTTTTCCCCTCCTTTCAAAAGTTGAGATGCCTGTTTTTTATTAGAATTATCTATTTTATTATGAGAACCTGACCTTGGATTTGTACCACTCCTCAGACTCCTGGAGGTTCCTGGAAGCCAGAGTCTCGTACTGCTGCCGGACGTCTTTCAGGGCAGCGGTGAGGTCAGGTTTGGCCACCTCCATATCAATCTGCACATGCTGTTCCTGGATCTGAATCTGCAGTTCAGCAAGTTCCTGTGGAGATGTTGGAAAAATGTACTTTAACAATCCAAATGCACAGTTTGAAACCTATCTTTTACTGTAGCATTTTTACAGTCTTTTACCGTTAAATTCACGGTCATTTTTTACAGTGTGAATATTGCATTGTACACTGTTGTTCAAAAGTTCAAGGTCAGTACAATACAGTAATATTGTGAAATAGTAATGCAATTTACAATAACTGTTTTCTATGTGAATATATTTTAAAATGCATGCAAAACTGAATTTTCTGCATCATTACTCCATTCTTCAGTGTCACATGATCCTTCAGAAGTCATGCTAATATGCTGATTTGCTGCTCAAGAAACATTTATTATCAATAATATTGAAAACAGTTTAATATTTTTGTGGAAATAGAAATCATTTGTTACCTTATAAGTATTATTGTACATTATAATTTGTTTAATTTGTATAGTTTATTTGTTACAATATAAGTATTATAAGTATTTTTGTCATTTTTGATTAATTTAATGCATCCTTGCTAAATAAAAGTATTCATTTCTTTCAAAAGAATATCTGACTGACCCCAGCTATTGAATGGTAATGTATAATAATTGTGTGCCATAATTTTTGGTGTTTGATTTGAACGTAAACTGAACAAATCTCATTCTGAAATACAATAGCAGTAGTTTGTTAGCCCTGAACTAATGTACTTCCTGATCCTGAAACAATGTCTCCGCTTTATTCTCTTGGAATTACGCCCCATTTAATCACTATGGCAACAAGTCACACATGCCTGACAATCCCCTGATATTAACAAGCCCAACAAAAGTGTCAGTCAGCCAGAAAACCACGACTGTGAGAAGAATGGTTGAATGGCCAGAGGAAATTTTATTCATTTTATTGTTCAGAGCTACTCTTTTATGGCTCAGGAGTTGTTGTTTTTTAAACCATGAGCTTTGTCTTGTATGTTTCTCCTAAAATTCATTAGAAGAATAAATTATGCATGTATAAACTTATAGAATTTGGTCTCAGAAGAATGTAATAAGAAAGGTTTCAATTTGTATCAAAATCTCTCATTTTTTAATTCATGCCCTGATCTTTTCTGACACTCTCGAGGAGACACGTGACATTATTGGGGTGAAAATAATGTAAAAATTGACATTTGCATTTCATGTTAATGCTATGAATGAGAAACACCTAAGATATTAATGACATCTCATTTTGATGTTTCTCTCTTCAGGTGGTTCAGTACCTCATCATGAAGCTTCTTCAAGAAAGCGATCTCTTCTTGCAAGGATTCCACCTTTCTCTCCAGGTCCAGACGAGCCAGGGAGGCATTATCAACATCCTGTGGGCATAACACATATAAAATATTCATCAGATTTATTTGTATAAACCTAGGAGACATTTCTCCTAAAAATGTTGTTTTAAACTTCCACTTGTGTTTCCTATGAGTTCTACACAGTTCCCTTTTCTCATTCTTCTATTCCTTTGCACTAAAATAATCACATTATACACTACAGTTCAAAAACTTGGGGTCATTTTTTAAATGTTTTTGAGAACAGTCTCTTATCCTCAACAAGGCTGCATTTATTTGGACAAAAATACAGGAATATTGGGAAATATTATTAGTTTTCTATTTTAACATATTTTAAAATGTAATTTATTCCTGTGACGCAAAGCTGAATTTTCAGCATCATTACTCCAGTCTTCAGTGTCACATGATCCTTCAGAAATCATTCTAATGTGCTGATTTGATGCTTAAGAAACATATCCTATTATTATCAATGTTGAAAACGGTTGTGTTCCTTAATGTTTGTGCAAACCACAATACATCCTAAAAAAAAAACTCATTTTGTTTAGGATTATTTGACGGATAGAACAGGATTTATTTAAAATAGAAATCTTTTGTACCATTATATAAATGTTTGTACTGTCAATTTTGATCAATTAAATGCAACCATGCAGTTGTATTAACGAAAGTATTAATTTCTTTTAAAATAATCTTATTGACCCCAATCTTTTGAATGGTAGTTTATGTAAATTCTTTTAAGCTATTCCTTTCTGAAGTGAATAACAATAGCTTGCCTGCTGCTAACTGTTTGTAGTGCTGCAGCTGGTAGTGGCAGACACCCTTTAAAGCACACACACATAAACACACACACACACACACACACACACACACACACACACATCCTCTCCTCTGTGTCCATAAGTCACCAGTGTACCCTGGTTAACACTGGCCCCTCCCACTCATACAACAGTTTGCTTTGTCATGAACGTCCAGCCTGTTCTCAGACAAAGCTTTCTTTTCAGTTGCTTGTCTAAATCTGATGCCGGACAAGAGGGCAGCTTGACCAGGCCTGCACTGACCCTTTTATTGTGAGGAGACAATCAGTAGCGTCTTGCAAACACTGACTGGAACGCTAACTGATCACATTGTAATTGTGGCTGCGGTAGCACCCAATCAAACATCAGGTCCAAGAACACATATAAAAATGGTTGTGGTTTCTCTGAACATGTGAAGATGTACCTGTCTGAAGCCCCGAAGGGTGTTCTCCGCATCCTCTCTCTGGAGCATCTCTTCTTGAAGTCTGAAAATGAGATGAATATTTAAGCAGAGCCACACCCTGTATAACACAACCAAACCCACTGGAGCATCTCATCGGCACAATAAGAAAGCCTTTGACAACAAACTAAATAAAATAAATGTATTGTCTTTGGCTGTATCAAAAAATTAAACAAATAATGGGTTGTTTTTAACCTGGTAACGAGAAAACACTATAAAGAAGAGCTTTGTCCTGACAGAAATTCAACTAATCTTACAGAGTAAATAATAATAATAAAAATGTAGTTTTGTTTAAGGCATTTATATATGAATTTAGCCTATATTTTATTTATATAAATATAAATATAAAACCTAAGACAACATTTATTTGACCTGGTAAAGAGAAAGCTTTGTCCTGAGAGAAATTCAACACCATATTACACCAGCAAAAAAAAAAAAACATAATATGGGATAACATCTAAATAAACAGGTTTTATGTATTTCAGAAATATTATTAAATATACTAATATGACTAAATCAACCTATCTTAGGTTACACTAATAAAAATAATTTTAAGGATCAAGGCAGGTAGAACCAGCTTCTTAATGCAATGACAGTACATTTTCAGTTATCAGTAAATGAACATTTAAACTCAAAACAATGTATATAAATTTATATATAGGATTTTAGAGATAGACACTCTAAATCTTCAACTTATACATTGTTTTGTTGTATAAATGCACCTTTAAAATGCATTTATGAATGCATTTTTCTTATTAGCTATACAGTTCTGTTGGTGATATGAAATACGAAATGGCAATAATATGATTTTAAACCCTTGTTTGCAAAAAAAGTATTTTTATAAACTCATGCACTTGGCAGACATTTAATGTTATTTTACACTTATAAAGTTTTGGTTTGTTTGCACAGTCTCTTGGACAATGTTTGGCCATACTTCTCTTTGAGGCGCTCGATGTCCTCTCCCATATTGTCCCGGTCCACCTCCACCGTGGACTTCTCGTTGGTGAGCTGGTCCACTTGTCTCCGGAGTTCTCTCATCTCATCTTCGTACAGATCACTGACCCGGGACGAGCCTTTGCCCCGCATCTGCTCCAGCTCCGCGATCAAGATCTTATTCTGCTGCTCCAGAAATCTCACTTTCTCGATGAAACTGGCAAACCTGTCGTTGAGATGCTGCATCTCCGCTTTCTCATTGGTTCGGTTGGCTTTAAACTCGGTGTTGATGGCCTCGGCGAGCCCGAAGTCCAGCGTATCGGTGGCGAGTCTGGGCAGCGGCGCGCTGGTGCGCACCCTCGCGCCCTTGCTCATGTAGATGGATGGAGACGCGGAGGACGCGCTGCTGTAGGACACCCGCGAGCTTGTGCGCACCGGGCTGCTGTACTGCCGGCTGGAGTAAGTGGACCGAAGCATCGCTGGTCGCTCTCCACCGAACATCCTTTTGTAAGAAGATGTGTTTGGTCGGCTGGCCATTGAAATCCTTTAGTTCTGGGGTATTGTTGAAGTCAGCGTCTACTTTCACGAACTACCGCACCCTGTCCAGACCAACCGAGACCACTGCAGAGGTTCTGCTTGCATTTATAGTCTACTCCCTATGCTAATGACATAACGGTGCAGGGAGCTTTAGTGACGCAGAAGCGCCGTCGGGGCGGAGGAGTAGAATGTGCCTCTCCATAACTACCAATGAAAGAGTTTGACTCTGGCAACACCAGGAGAGTAGCCTATATTCACTTTTGTATCATTTGTTTTTCCGTTTAATAAATGCATTTTCGTATAATGTTTAATATTAGCTGTATTTGCATTGTATTTAAATTGTATAATATACATAATAAACGATAAATATTCAGTTTATTTATCCATTCATTCGTTTACCGGTAAATACAAAAATTATTAGCTCATTTCTGTTTTTTAAATAATAGATTTTTAAAATATTTTTTAGATGTTTTGTAGGCTATTATATAAATATTTGTTATTTATTTATATATTTTACAAAATAATATAAACAATTTATTAAACAATATTTGAATATTTTTAGTTAAGTAAAATCTACTGACAAGATAACATGCAAACAAACATACATTTTTTTTGAAGGTATTGTCATCTACTGTTACTATTTTAAATGAAAATTACATTTTAATAGGTTATAATAATAATTATTATTATTGTTGTATTTTATTTGATTTATTTATGAAGAATAAGAATAAAATAAGAGAAAGAAAACTAATGCGGAACGTTTCGTCAATGCACTTGTTTCTAGAGGATCATGTTCGGGAGCGCACACATGTGGCACGCTTGAGACGCTGTCAAAATATCATAAACATTATTCAGCAGTAAAAGATGGAGACCATGGAGCCACTCCGTGTTCTGGAGTTATACAGCGGAATAGGAGGGATGCATTATGCTTTAAAGGGTACGTCATTTGGTCTAAATTTGTAGCGATTATGCATAACATGACTGACACAGGATCAGTTGCAGAGGCTCTGTCTAGAAAATGATTGACACGCTGGTGGTGTTTATGAGTCTCTTGTATGATCCCCACAGGTGTCACTCTTCCCTTACTGCACATTTGCAGTGCGTTTTCTTCATAAATAAAATGTGACATGAAGAAAAGTTCATGTGTTTCTTTAGAATTGTGTTGTGAAGACTAGCTAATTCTCAATAGTTGAAATGTGTGCGTTTCTTTCAGAGAGCTCAGTTCCTGCTGAAGTTGTTGCTGCTGTGGATGTCAACACAACAGCCAATGAAATCTACAAACACAACTTCCCCAATACCCCACTCCTGCCAAAAACTATCGAGGTCAGTGCTTGCCCTCATGAATCTCAGTTGGTTATGAAAATGATTAAACACATTTTGTTTGAACGCACAAGCGGCTCCCATTTTGCAAATGTATACAGACAATAATACATAATCTAACAAGTAAGATAATCATGACTGACTTCTTTTTTGCATTTTTTGCCCGGAGTTATGTCAGATTATTGACCTTTCTGCAACTCAAACAGCTCGTGTAAGCAAAATCTGTCTTATTTAACTGATTTATTGCATTCGTAACAACATGTCTCTTTTGTAACATCCTTAAAATGATGTTTCTTGGTTAATTCTATCAGCACATAGTCTCATGACTGCGTTTTTAAAAGCAATAGGAGGTAAAAGTGTAACTGAGTGGTTTTTGTGGTGGTTAAAGGTTCTGTGCTTCGTCAGCATGGTAATGATGTACCTGCCACTGACCTCAGTTCGTAAGAATATAAAACAATGCATGAAAGAATGGATAGAGGTTTAAAGAGTGATAATGAAGATGGATTCGATATTTAAATGACATTATTGTGGCGTAAATCTGTCTTTGTAAATTTATTTTTGAATGTATAAGAATGTTTACAGATCAAGACTTATGCAAGATTAAATAACTTAATATTTTTGCTTTATAACATTGAATTGTTCTAAGTGTGAGGTTGTTTTTTTTTTTTTGAAGAGCAGTTATTTATTTATTTATGTCTTTATTTTTTAAGTATAGTTGTTTAATAATAGTTATTTTGGCTTTGTCTATCAGGGAATGACGTTACACGATTTTGACAAACTGAACTTTGACGTGATTTTGATGAGCCCACCATGTCAGCCGTTCACCAGGTGATCAGCATGTTTTTCTTGTTCATTGAAGAAGTAGTTCACACAAAACAATAATTTTTATTTTTGCATGCATGTTTAAAATTGTATGACTTTCTTTTTTTTTTAAAGGGGTCATATGATGCTTTTTTAAAGATCATTATTTTGTGTATTTGGTGTAACAGAATATGTTGACATGCTTTAATGTTCAAAAAACACATTCTTTTTCAAATACTGTACATTATTGTAGGTCCTCTATGCCCCGCCTCTCTCAAACGCTTCGTTTTCTACAAAGCCCCCTCCTTTGACAAGCGCAGTCTGCTCTGATTGGCCAGCTGACCCAGTGCATTGTGATTGGCCGAACACCGCAAGCACTCGTCGGAAATGTAACGCCCCTTACCATAATCGCGAGCTTCAGCTTTCAAAATAAATGTAAAGACAGAGCCCGAAAGGGGAACAGAGTCACGTGACAGACACAGTGATGAAGCTGGTATGTGTTTG